ATCTGGCTAAAATTAAACCAGCACCCACAATGCTTGAAGCACTAATCTCATCCACAGAATCTCAATAAGCAGGGGTTTGATATGATTAGAATGAAAGATTATTTTGCACAAGCGTAAACAGTGTCATAACATGATTACTGTTTTCCCAGATTAACAATATGACATCTAAAAATGGAAGATATTAATACTGATATGTAGGAAGCAGGGTTAAAAAAGGTTTAAACTGTTTAAAATGTTTTGTTTTCTTAATATTAATGTTTTAAAAACAGTACTATTGTGAAATGTTAATACTATTTAAAATAACTGTTTTCTATTTCAAACTTGTAAAATGTAATTTATTCCTGTGATGATAAAGTTGAATTTTCAGTCTCATTCCAGTCTTCAGTGTCACATGATTCTTCAGAAATCATTCTGTGATTTAGTGCACAAGAAATATTATTATCAATTTTGAAAAGAGTTGCGCTGCTTTATATTTTTAACGGATATTAATCTTTTCATAAGAACAAAGAGTCCAAACTGTATTAATTTCTTGAAAATAAAAAATCCTGACCCCCAAACTTTGGAATGTGTATATATACAATAAAAATATGGCAAATAAAACAAACCAAATCGTTATAATAGTTGTTAATTTAAGTTTCACATTCACTTAATTCACAAAGAAATATACGTTTATAAGATCATATATGATATTTTTTTCTTTTAAAGTAATATGAGGCATTCAATGTAAAAAAAGAAGCCTGAATTAATGTCAATGTTCCTTACTTTAGGAAAATAGAAGGCTTATTTGAATCCACCAAATATTCATATACAGCCAAAAGTTTAAATCATGCATGTGGTGAAGGACTTAAGATTTATTTACGTAGTTAAAAATAATATGGTGTTATTAAATCCCCTTTAGTGTCTTAAGACGTGCAGACATCAGAGAAAGAGCTGAGCACCTGCATGTGAGAAAATCAAAGATGACGCCATACTTCTTAACTAACATGCTCATCCTTCCTATGAGTGCATGAAACCATTAACAGGAACATATTTATCCCGCCCCCCATCTCAAACGTGACTTTCTCTCTGCGTCTAATGAAATTTTACATACATACGTACGCACTCAATACACACGGCGCCTTTCAGTCCTGATCCAATTGACAATCTTCAACACATTCATTCATTCTCCTAACACATTTACCAGAATCCATCTGTCTGTCGGCTCACCACCCATCCTCCTCCTCTCTCAGTCATCATCAGTTCCACACCTTCCGACACACTCACCATTAGCTACTTTCCTACATGTCAAACACGAAAATGACAAGCTCAATCAGCACTGTGTGACAGGCCAACACAAGGACAAGGAGTGTGAGAGGATGTAAAAAGCCAGACACAAGCACTTAGATGTGGAGTGGTAAGCCAGGGGCATTTGTGACAGTGTTTGAGGCCGACCTTAGAGCATGACTGCAGGTAGCTGAGGTGGTGAGAAACAGAACTAAACTGTCAAAAACGAGACACACTCCCGCATACACGTACATTCCTGGAGAGAGAGCAGCTGTGGATGAGGGAGCAGCTGTCATGCCCCCCGTACCACACCCCTTGGTCCCCCCCTGTGGGGACGGTGAAGCTAAATGAGCAAGGCCAAGGGTGGCCTAGAAGTGACGGCACAGCTGAGCGCCATCAAAAATATGTTTTGAAAATAACTAGGCTAAAGGCTTATGTCTTTATTGGGTGGTTTAAACGGCTGGTAACTTATTGAGCAATAGCTTACATTTTGGGACAAACGGGTAAAAGCCAGACAACGTAGGAAGTTCATCTTTATTTAACGCATAAATGCAGGGTCGAGGTTGACTTCCATTTTTTTCCACTGTAGTGTTAATTTAGGAAATTGTTCCTTGTCTGAAGGCACATGTGAAGGGACTAGAAATGGTTATTAACAAGCTCAACTAGTTGCAACCTTGATCAGTGGAAAATCTATATCATAAGCTTTTGCCACTAAATCATTACAGAAATAACATACCTTAAACCAGCATAAGCTTGTTTGAGGTTTTTAGCTGGTGTCCAAACCTGGTCATATTGTTCTGTTGGCTGGTTTTAGAGGGGTTTTGGGCACTTTTCAGCTGGTCATGCTGAGAGACCAGCTTGAAGACCAACTACGCAACAGCTTAGGCAGACTGGGAGACCAGCTTAAACCTGCTTAGACCAGTAAACCAGTTTTGGCTGGTTTAAGCATTTTTTTATGCTTTTTAGAATAATAAACAATATATAGCAGCACACAGAAATATATTCCTGTTGGGGGAAAAGAATTATATAAATCAAGTAAATCATACGTCTAATAATCAAATAATGCCATTTAGATACGTTATAACAAAACAAATGATTAAACAAACAGGAAATGTGTAACCAATCAACATCTACCCACAAAAACAGTTATCTAGAAGCAAAGAAGTTGTGTACAAACACAAGCAAATACTGACCCACGTCAGAGTTTGATGTGTCCTGTCAACCTGCTAACGCTACGATAGTTGTCTTTCTAGTCTCAACCCAAAAGTTCGGATTCGAAAACAGTCCCGGACAAACTGAACTAGTAACGTTATTCTGGTAGCCATAGTGCATTTAACGTTTGTAAAAACAGGAATGTGTTTTACTCAAATACTGGCAAGGAAGTCATACAAGAGTCCGCAGGCTACTTAGCAACCGAGCCTAACTACTGTCAGTTAGCATTGCTCGCTACAGAGCCCATTTCCGTGCTCAATATTAACTAAAAACTCACTTTTAATCAACATAATTAGCTGTCATTTCAATATGTGCATATACAAAGATTGGACTATAGTATAAATCTGCTGATTTGAATTGACAACAGCCCGCAGCCTTGTCAACTGGCTTAGTGCTAACAAGCAAAGGATAAAACTTTAGCCACGGAAGCAGGGTAGCTGCAGTTAGAAGCTCAAATTTATAGCCATAAAAATAGTAAATATATGAAATAATCTAATTTATAGACAATTGTTCTGTCGCATTGTAAACCGTAGATACACGCAGAATTAAATTAAGAGTGGGTTTAAGGGAGGGAGCAGATATGTTGGGCCGCAGTATCGTCCTTAACATTCGGCCACTTTCCTGACGCGCTTAACCGAGTATCCCTGCGCGTATGTGGGCTTGCTGTTCGCCCGCTTGCCGCCGCGCTCGACCGAGTTCGGGACAGCCTTAGCTCACAACAACGACTCGATCCATAAATCTCAGTCTTACCTGGTGCACTGCAGTCGGCGCACACCTCGGTTCTTTGGACTTTCCTGGACATCGCTGAAACCAAATCTACCGCTTCCAAAGATTTTAGTCCAATACTTAATATATTTGGCTTGCTGTCCCCCCAGGAGCGACGTCTGCGATTTGAATGCCGCCCTGAATGTCCGGAAGCCGGCGACGAGCTCTCCAGTGCTCCCGGTCCTCACCCTTGTCTCTCCTTCCTTTTTTCTGCGGTGTCTTCTGCCTTAACGCTGCAAGGATTTAACAATTCCTCTGAATGAATCAAATTTTTCAGAAGGCCCCTTACGTTCTCAGATTATTTAATATTGGGCGTCCCCACTAATGTTTTTCCCCCGACCATTATCCAAGCCCCGTCTCTGTCTCGGGCAAAAGGGGGTGGGAATAAGAAAAGTATGGATACAGTACACGGTTTATTTACATCCACTGCCCTATACACTTGACTTCTGCACGGCGGGCTGCATACTCTCCCTCTCTCTCTCTCTCTCTCTCTCTCTGACGTCTGTCTCGCTTTCTTTCTCTTGCCCCACCGTCGTTATTGCACAGGCGGGGGCAGACAGAGCAGAGGGACCATGCAGTCATGCCCACCAGTGTAGATGAATTTTACATAACTTTATTTGCATATATACAATCCCCGAATCAATAAACTTTAAGTAGCCTATTGGCCTATAAATAATTAAATAGAATATACAAGATTCAGTAAATTGGATATGGAAAATAATCCTACCCTACACAGGGGTTAATATAGCTATTTAAATACTACACATTCTATTCTATTCTATTCTATTCTATTCTATTCTATTCTATTCTATTGAGCCATTAGGCCTTCTTGTATTTATTTATTTCAGGCCATTGAAATGTACTAGCCTATGCTTTTTTCTGTAGCCTAAGTGTGTGAATAATGTGTTTTATTGTCACATCTGCAAAGAAACAATAAAAAAACGTAAACCAAGACTATATGCCTATCTTATTGATTTTACTATGTCATACTTTAACTCACTTTGACTTTATTTGGAATTTAGGCTAATATGGACCCATTGCTTTGGGGTTGCCACTGCAGCAACACATGTGACCACTGACATGTTTATGTAATGTGATCATGTTTTATGTGAGAAAGCAAATTAATAATATTATTCAATAAACTTGAATATTTCATTTTGCAGTTTTAGCTATGGCTTATGTCCAGTCCTCTGAGTTTAGAAGGGTGGATGATATAGATTAAGATATTTAGATATTATATTAGTAGATATTAATAATATTAGCATAAATGTTTTATTTTAAGTAGGCCTAGACCTATAGAAATATTAAAATCAATGTTGAACAAAACTCAATTTGATTCTATGGCAGTCACCATGGGACATATGACGAAATAATTAAAACAGATTATTAAAACAATTGACAGAACACAAAAAACATGACAGAAAACATGATAAAATCAGCACACAGAAAACAAAATCAGCACAATCATTGTTTCGTTATTTTAGTTTATGTTCCATTCTGTAGCTAATATATAATTATAACCCTAGAATTGAATTTATGTTCCGGCCCCTATTAATAAATGATACATTGCATGATATATTTATTAAGAAATACAGTGGCAGCATGAGATGTTATCTCTATATCCTCTCCCATGGCGCAGTGAGCAGCATCATCATGTATGACAGAATCACACACTGAAGTTCAATGGCTCATAGACTTGCGGTGCGAGTCGCTTTCGAGAGCCCTGCCTCAGCCTCCGTGAGCGAGCGTGTATGTGCGCGCGCGCGCGTTTGAGCGAGAGAGGAGAGGGAGAAGAGACAGACTAGGAGTGGAGAGCACAGCGGAGATCATTATTACACACGCGTTAGCATTAAATTGCCTTTCAACATAGAGACATTGAATGCCAAGCTACTATGCAAAAAGGGATGCTGGATACGAAAATTGAGAGAAATACCCTAATCGGTCGTCTCAGCAATAAGAATAGGCTATAGCACGCGCCCTTTACAAAAGTAACTGATATCGCACAAAAGCAGGGAAACGGAACGGGAGAGAGAGCAGCAGCGAACTATGCACTGAGGATGATTTCTGCCAGAAAAACTCCGGAGAAGAGTCGCTACCACCTGCATTATCTTGTGTGGCACAACAAACACCGGCAGCTGGAGAAAGAGCTCTCCGCGCACGAGCAGGTAAGATGCGTTCGTTTCCGCGTTTCTGTATCGCGGCGGATGATGCTGTGAGGAACGGGCCGTGCGTTTGATAGGGAAACTGATTCTGGTACTTCATTCGGCTTGTAATCTGTGATGCAAGGGCGAAAAAGTGATTTTTCTTTGTTTTCTGGTCAGTTACCCAGTGGTTTGATATGCCAAACAGAAATGAATGTCAAAATCCTCACACCCTGGCTGTGTCTTCAAACCTATTGAGTTGCCTAGATAGACCGCATTTTTGGGCGTATTGTCACGTTCGAACGCGTACTAATGCTGTCTATGTAGCTCACTAGTTTCCCTATTCTCCAAACCTTCTCGTGTTACGCGTCTGTCCATTTAATGTGGAAACGTGATCAGAAATGCAGTTGAATTGTATTTCGATCTGAGATGCATTAAACACATAGAGGCTCCACAATAAAGTGCCATTGCTTTCAAAGGCTGTGGGTGAATAATGCTTACAGAACGACACTCACAGTTCCTGAGGATAGATGGTGTGTCGGGAGAGGGTGTGTTTGATGCGCTTGATGATCAACCATCTTCAAAAGAGTTAAAGAGCATGAAATTAAAATTCACCTTATATTTTCTAAATGGATGTTATTGATCTTTTGAATGATTCATCCACGCATGTTTATTTTTACAGTTGTTTTAATTTGACCTCTTAATCTTTAATCAGAATGTCATAACTTTTAGTCAAATGACAGACTTCTCTCTGCTTGAGTTCTGCAATGATTTCCAGTAGTAGACTGCAAGCTCGCTTTTAGATCTGCCTTCATCCGATCAACAACAGTTAAATTGAAGTACAAGTTCCTGTTCTACTTTTTTTTCCCTTTGTTGATAATCCATTTATATATAGATTACAAGACTGAGGAAAAGATCTGGCGCTTCTTCAGTTACGTCACAACTTTAATGCAACATCTATCCACCAATTTGTAGATATAATCGGTGTGGCATTCATCTTTATTCTATTAGAGAGAAAAATCTACAAATACTGTAGATCAACAGACAAATAATGGTAAGACTGCTAAGAAACTAAATCTATTAAAACATTGCTATTTAAATGTATTCCAGTTAAAATATCAAATAAACTATTTAATATTATACAATAGATTTATTAAATAATACACAATTTGTTAGGGGTAACATCAAACTACTCATTTTTTAATATTGAAGCCATATTAGAATGCATTGGAAGAGGCCAATGAAAATCAGAATGCATTTTTCTGTAACAAACAGAAGTTTATATCAAAATAATAATTGAGATTGCAGAGCTGATTGTAAATATCAAGGCCTGTAAATAAAGTTTTCACAGCAATGCCATAGAAGAAACTTTCAGTCAGCAGTTTTTAAAAGAACCCTTTTTCCTATGTGAAGAACATTTTAATAATCTAAAGAAACTTTTCCCACCATAAACAAAAAAGAATGTTAAATGTTAAAGGTTTTTCATGGAACATAGATGTCAATAAAAAAAAACAACTATTACTTATTTTAAAAAATGCTGTGTTGTTTCGACCCAATTTTGGGTCAAAAATGGACAAACCCAGCTATTGGGTTTAATTTTGTAAATTCCATTTTTTTAATCCAGCATTTGGGTTTGTCCATATTTGACCCAAATTGGGTTAAAACAACAGGAATTTTTAGAGTGTATGCTCTTTATCAGACTTTCACTATTTGGGTTTAACTCTCTGTCTAATGAGTAAATAACAAGGGGGTTATCCATTGACCGGAAAGTTGAAGCCTCACGGGAGCTGCCATCTTGTAGCAGAACTTCAATTGCGTTAGCATTTCCATTGACTCCCATTCATTTTGGCGTCACTTTGACAGCAAATAACTTTACATCTGAGGCATTTGAAGACTCCATTTGTCCATTATTTATTTCTAAAGAAACACGACAATGTATAAAATGCTCCATTACCTTGTAGTAGTAAAAGTATAGGCTAACGATTGCATCATAACCATGCGACTCTCTGTCGCATTACCGTATGGACAGGAAGAGAAGCTTGCGGGCAATCGGGGAAAAGTGGAGGCAAAATGACAAAATAATAAATCAGAATACCTAGCAAAAGTTTCTCCTGCTCCTCGCTCATGGACAGCTCCTACTCACACTCTCCACCTCTGCAAGTTTCGGAAGGGAATGATTCAATTTTTCTCATGCCACAGCCACTAGAAGACAGACGGGTTGCTCACGTCACATCTACGTCGTCAAGCTCTGTTTGAGCTCTGTTCGCGTCAGGAACGGAAGTGCTAAAAAAATCACTAAAAACGGGCTTCACTTGTCTCAATGGAGTTCCAATGAGATGGCTCTGTCTACTTCTTTTACAGTCTATGGTAAATAACTATAACTCATTTGAGCAAAGTAATCCATCTCAGTTACAGCAGCCATTCACAATTCCATCTTTCCAAACCCCAAACAAACTGTAACTCACTCCAATACCAGCCATCTTGTTCCTGTGCCGGTTTTTATGACTCAGGCTGACGGTAATAATTCAGACCCCTAACCCTCTTCATGATCACTGCGATATAAAGCACTTCCAGTTTAGATGATTTACAGGCCGCTGACAGCATAATCTAGCCACGTTTGGCATGGTAGGCTCAATGAGTCAAACCGAGTCCCTCCAGGGACGGCATGAGGCGCGAAGGGAGGTCAATGCTGTCTCTATTGTTCCTCTCCAGTGAATGAGGCACGTAGCCACCCTGACAAGGGGAAAAGTTGCTGCACCAGCACACGGGATTATGGGCTAGATGTTAGGTGTCAGTGAAAGAACAAAGAGGGAGGAGAGCGAAAGGACGTGAGATCAGGTGAAGGGGGAAAAATAAGTTACCAAGGGGAAAAGAAGCTCATTTTGCAGTATGCTTCGACGGTGCCATAAAACAGTCACGGGGGAGGAAGTGGACAGATGACAGCTTGGAGGAGAGCAGCAGGGAATTTAGAAAGAGTGAATGGAGAATGGATAAAGTGGGTGATTGAATGAGTAAACTATGAGAGAAGAGCAGTCGGCTGATGGATTTACAGAGCCTAGTCCAAAAATTGGAGAAATTGCATAGTTTTACATTCTTCTGAGTGAAGTCAGCAGTGCCTCAGCAAATACACAACAACACGGGGCCCTCCATCAGCACATTTGCCATTGTCCACACATCTGTTTTACTACCTCTCTTCTTCAACCCTCGGCCCTCCTGCACTCCACCCGTAACGCAACACTAATTGCTACACAGCGTTGTCTCAGAGGACGAGTGTTAAGTGCGATTTGGTTATCTTATGAGAAGCTTTGGTAACACTTTAGAATGCTGTTCTGTCATTTATTAATAACTAAGAACAAATGCGTAACGCAATATTAACATAGTTGGTTTAATTTGAGGGTGGGACAGATGTCCCCACTTTTTGTCAGAGACTGGCCCCACCACTTTTAGCGGCACGGATACCTAATACAAATGAAAATCTCCAGCAGAATATTTGTTCATTTGTTCAGCAGAATATTCGTTCATTTGTTCGTTTTCTCACACAAACCGCTCGTTTTGTTTCTTAGGCCATCAATGTGTACTTACATTTACGAGTCATTAAATCATCTTTTAATTTGGACTTCTCTGTGCATGCTCTTTGAGGTGGACCCCATAAACCTCCATTATATGACTGACAGACAAGAACGGTTTGACCTAAAAATATCAAAATTGAAAATACTGTGGAAACAAAGACATCTTGGATGCCCTTGAGGTAAGCTAAACTACCAAAAATTAATTTCAAAGTGAACTATCCCTTTAAGTCAATTTAGCGTTTTATTCAATGCAGTTTGTTTCAAAGCTTTACACCTTAACACTGTTGCGGAAACTCTCTGTTTGCTCCTGTTAAATCAGTGAACAAAATGCACACAAATGTGTCCTTGAAAAACGTGTCCTGACTTAAAAAAAAACCATACAGGGCAGATTTGAACCCAGACACGCTTAAGACAAGTTTACCACCAGACCATAAAGAAACACGAACAGTTAAAGCATATAGATTTTAAGGATGAAAGAAACCATCACATTAAACATGACTTAAATTAAACTACTATTAATGTAATTGAAAGTGAACATGAATTATTGTACATATCAATAAGCATTTAGCAATAACAAATTAGTAAGTAGAGTTAATTCACATCAGTATCTACTTTTTCACCTCCCAGAGGACTACAAAGAATATATGTTCATAATTAATGAGAGTAGGCCTATGTATAAAACATTTAAAAAAAAAAAAAGATTATAGTTACCTATAATTACTCAAGTCCTTCAATATAAATTGCCTATATCACTTGGGTCAGTTTTCTAAAGTGAAAAGCATAATAACTCTCTTTTGATGACTGAAGTCATTAAGCATTTTAGGTTTTTAGGTTTTAGTCATGACTTAAGTACCAAATCCTTTTAAAGGAATTATTCAGTATTCTAAAGTGAAGATCGTGGTGACCCACAAGTAATGACTCAAGTATTGCTACATTTTTCAAAAGGAATTACTATCCAAAACCTTATAAAAACCTCAAAAGTTTACAATTACTTTTGTTGCTATTAATTGCTCAATTACTAGAGAGCTGTCACTTTCTGTTCCAAATATTAGTATTCCTTCTGAAGGATTTGGTAATACTTGAATCTTTAATAATTGAGTTGGATTGTGCATTATGGATTATTTAGATTAATTATGAACATGTAGTTCTTAGTAGTCCAGGTATGAAAAAATGATTAGTGAATTACATTTTCACTATATTCACTATTTTTTATGACCCAAGTTGGCGTCTGAACTGTGCTGGATTTGTCTACAACATGGCTCTCAGCACTACTCATCTCTGTGATTTACATATGTTTGTTTTTCCAGTAAACATTCCCCTATTCTAATTTAGATATGCAAACATAACCTCAAACCATGGTGTACTTAAGCGTCTCAGTATTTTTCTTTTAAAGGGATGTTTAGAATTCTGTCAGCATTTACTCACCCTCATATTATCCTTCATGCTCCCAGTGTT